TGTGTGTGTGTGTGTGTGAGAGAGAGGTGTGAGTGTGAGTGTGAGTGTGTGTGTGTGTTGTGTGTGTGTGTGTGTGTGTGTGTGTGTGTGTGTGTGTGTGTGTGTGTGTGTGTGTATATATATATATATATATTATATATAATATATATATATAGGTAGAAAAACCCACAATGCGTAAACTAGATTTATTGAAATAAGTGAGACAACTGGTTCGGAATCGTCCTCGATTCCATCTTCGGGTCTGGAGATGGAATGGAATCGAAGATGGAATCGAGGAGGATTCCGAACTTGTTGTCTCACTTATTTCAATAAATCCTAGTTTGCGGATCGTGGGTTTTTCCATCCATACATAAATACATTTCGCCGAACGAGTACTGGAAACCCTCATTTCACCTGAATTTCATCAATCCAGAAAAGTCCCATGTTGAACAGGAAGTACGAGAAGAACCCAATGAAGTTGAAAGCCAGGTAGTCGAAGCTCAGGCCGATGACACTGAAACGGAGGCGGGAAAGCTCATTGGCGGGAACACGAGGGGCGTCCGTGGGATCACAGAGAAGCACCCAGAGAGCGCATACCGCTGCCAAGGCAATTGGGTGATATAATAATCATTCAAGCTCCAAAAACCTGTACCTATCTCGCAGCGCTGACAATTATAATAATATCTACCCCAACTGATGCAATTATTAAAAAAAATAAAAAAATAAAATAGTCCTGGATCCGCTTCATTATCCCGATCATCACCAAAATGTGATGGTATCTAAATTCGGCTAAGACACCTCTGGTTAAAAGAAAGATAAAAGTTTATAACTTTTTTGGGCTAACTAACCAACGCTACCAAAAACATAAACTCCTTTGTAGTTAGTGTCTAGCTTGAATGGTTACCGAAAAAAGTGTATGTAGTTTTATCCTAATAAAAAAAGCAAATAAAATCATTCCCAACAAGACGAGCATCTTAGGCAGATAGGAATGAGAGGAGCCGTCCCGCAGGAGCGCTGGCCCGGGACGCACCTCCTCCTGCGCCAGTTGTGCACGATCTGCGGGAAGAAGGAGATGTCCCAGGCGATCGTGTAGACCCAGCCCAGGACGTCGCCGAAGACGTTGAGTCCGGGGTCGACGATCACCGCCAGCCGCACGAAGGCGTCCTCCGTGCTGGGGGCGAGAGAAGTCGTCTCAATTAGACAGCTTAGGACAATTAAACGCCCATCGAAAAGCCAGGGAAAAATATCTAATTTGCAGGGAAAGATATCCAAGCATCTCTCTAAATGAGCTTGAGTTTCTGTTTGTCAAACATGAACAAGAGATGGCTGAAAGATAGCATGACAACGCTCTGTAAACATCATTAAAAGATCTTTCCTATTGTTTATCATACACAAAGCCAAATATAGTGCCATTCCAAATAACACACAAAGCCACACTGGGCTATCAAACAGTAAACATTTATTCCAGATTTTCTTGTTAAGGTTTGCTAGTAACCTGTGAGTTTTAATGTTTCACTAAGTAATGATTGCACACATTTAATAAATCGTATTTGATTAACAATAAATTCATTAACGTAACCTACTTCTAAATAATGTACAATTGGAAGCCACTTTATAAAATGTCTATCCTTTCAAATGTTTCTCAGTCGATTCCGAAAATGAACATGATGAGGAATGAGACAGATCATATCATGGGCGCCGCCCATGATTTGAGATGCTCAAGGACCTGAAAGCGTAGTTTTGATGGGTCTTCCCTTTTTATCGGTGCAAGAGGTTGATAATCGTTTTTAAAAGCAATGTGAACAAAGGGAAAAAAGCTAATCAGTCTTATCGCGGTGACGTCACAGAAGGACCCGCGGCTCGCAACGTGGTCGGAGCTCGATGCGTCTTCCCGCGCGCGGCCCTCCGCCTTCGCCAGCTGTTGACCGGCTTGGGGGCGGGGGTGGAGATGGCCGGCCGAAGCGGGAAAGATATCCGCGATCCCTTTATGGCCGTTTTTATCCTTAGGTTTTCACACGGTTATGGCCGATCATTATATGGGCAACACACACACAACACACACACACACACAACACACACACACACACACAACACACACACACACACACACACACACACACACACACACACACACGCATACACACAGACGAACCAGACCAGAGACCAAAATCCCAGTATCCAACGGGATTGCATAACAGCTGTCTACATATTTCCCTCAAGACTGGTATCAAAACACTGAAGCCTGTATCGGCGTTCGAAATCCCTACAACGTAGTTAATGAATACATAACACTGATCTGCGAAAGAGGGGTAAGGGGGGGCAGCTGTTTTGTGTCCGTCCTAGCATTACTAATCATTTACCAGTTTGTCCATCTCATCGTAAGTCCAGTCAGATTAACTGGTCGTAGATTGTGACGCTTACGATATTAAAGGAATTTACACGCAGTAGAGATAACACGTAAGAAGGGTATGAGTCACGACTTATTTACATAAAATGTTGAACTCGCGTCTGAGAGCAAGCGATTTCTCTGGCCCACTCAGACCGGGCGAAGGCCGTCTATTCTAAGATGGCCTCGTTTCAGGACATCTGTGAACATGAGGAAAGAGTCTCGGACGACGCATCATCCTCATCTGGGTATGGGGCAGTTAAATCCACTCGCCCTACCCCCAACGCCCACCCACCTTCGTCCGCACTCCCCCAGGCGGGGTTCCATAGCGTGGCGGCGACACTTCCGACTGACATGGTTCTGCCAGTGACATGATTGCACAGATGGAAGCCTGGGCAACTGCGTGCATTTTGGGTAAGGTCCTGGTTTGACGAGGGGGGGGGGTGGAGAGAGAGAAGAGGAGGAGAAGGACATAGAGGTGGAGGAAAGAGGAGAAAGAGATGGTGAGGGAGGAGGTGGAGGAAAGAGCAGAAAGAGATGGAGAAGGAGATATAGGTGGAGAGAAAGAGTAGACAGAGATGGAAAGGGAGGAAGTGAAGAGTAGAGAAGGAGAGAGAGGAAGTGGAAAGGAAGTAAGGTGAAGGAAAGAGGAGAATGAGGAGAGGAAGAGATTTAAAAGGAAGAGAAGGAGAGGGAGGAGGTGGAGAGACGATTGCCACACGGAGCTATAGAAACACTTGGAAGAATGCTTGTTCACAAATTTCTCAACTACATAATGCTGGCCCCTTGTATTGCCAGATTCTTCCCCCTTTATTTTCTTTATTCGATATACGCTTCATCCCTTTCTTTAGTCTCTCTTTGGTTCCCTCTCCATCTATCTGTCTATCTATCTGCCTCTCTGTCTGTCTATCTGTCTACCTACTTGTTTCTCTGCCTGTTTGTTTGTCGATCTACCTTTTTGTACTTATTTGTCTATCTGCCAGTCTGTTAGTTTATCCGTCTGTTTATCAATCTATCTATCTGTTTGCTCTCTATCTATCTATCTGTCTGTATCTATCTGCCAATCTGTCTATTTACATATCTATCTGCCTGAATGTCTGTCTGCCTGTCTGTCTGTCTGTCTGCCATCTATATATCTATCCATTTATCTATTTGTCTGCCTGTCTGTTTGTTTATCTACTTATCTATCTGGTTGTCTATGCATCTATCTATCTGTTTATCTATCTAAAAAAAAAATAGCTATCCAGCCAGGCACATAACTCTTTCTAATCTATTTTTTTATATTATCTCGTACATATAGATAACATCTGACAAGCACCAAGAAGTTCATAGCTAAAAGCAGACAGCTTTGTCAAAGTTTAAAAAAAGATACAAAGACAGAAAAAGCTACTTCTTAAAAGCTTAGATAATGAGACCGATAAAGCGATCACTGAAGACCAAATCAACAAACAAGTTATTAAGAGACCAACGGCTTGTTTCAGCTTCTGAGTGTCTGGTCCTAAATCTGACGGGGCTCATGGCTAGTCGCTGCGAAGGTGGAAACTTACCACCTTATTAACGATGATTCTCTCTCTCTCTCTCTCTCTCTCTCTCTCTCTCTCTCTCTCTCTCTCTCTCTCTCTCTCTCTCTCTCTCTCTCTCTCTCTCTCTCTCTCTCTCTCTCTCTCTCTCTCTCAGATATTCCCACTAATATTAGATAAATAAAGCCGATAACGATATTCTACGATAAGTGATAGGTGGGACAAGGTTCAAGAGTCACGGCTTTACTCATTTTGCGACGTGAAGGGGGGGGGGGGGGGCAGGACGGAGGGGGGCGTATATCATCCACTCATTTCTAGCGCTGATTTTGACGGTCCTGGGACTTCTCTCTCTCTCTGTCTTCTTCTGTCATCGCTCTCTCTCTCGGTTTCTCGTTCTCTCATCTTCGTCATCTCTTAAGTACTCATCTTCTCTCTCTCATCCTCTCTCTCACCTCTCTACCTCTATCTCCATCTCTCTTTCGGATCGTCTTCTCTCCTTCGACAGGTGGATGAACGTTTGGCCCTACGTCAAAGCGGTTCGGGCAAGGGATAGTGGGGTGTAGGGATGGTAGCTTTTATCTGGGACTAATGGAACTTGTACCCTCTCCGTTTCTCTCATGAGATACTCACCGATCACTCTCTCTTCCGGCGATCACCTCGGAGGCGTGCATTCTTCCCGTCTTATTAGTTCCGTCTTCTCATCTCTCCTCCCTCCCTCCTCGCCTCCTCTCTCCCATCTCATCTCTCACGTTGTGGAATCCTCTCTCTTCGTTCCTTACTCCCGTCTCCAATCGCTCTCTCTCCTCTCTCTCTCATCTCGTCTCTCTCTCCTCTCTTCTCCCTCTCCTCTCTCTTCCCTCGTCCTCCGACCCTCCATCTCCCTCTCGCTTCCCTCTCCCTTCTCCCTCTCGCCTCTCGCCTCTCCCTCTCGCCTCTCCTCTCCTCTCCCTCTTCCTCTTCCTCTTCGCTCTTCCTCTTCCTGCTCCCTCTCTCTCTCTCTCTTCTCATCTCTTCTCTCATCATAATCTATTCTATCTCCCCATCATTTCCTCTCCTCTCTCATCTAGTCTCATCATCTTCTCTCTCTTCTCTCTTCTATCTATCTATATATATATTATATATAGTATAGTATATATATATATAATAGTATGGATATAATGATAATATATAATATATATAATGAATATATAATATATAATATATATATATAATATATATTATATAATATATATATATTTAAATACATGTCTATCCTTCAGTCACATGCTCCGACCTCTTCTTCAACTATCTATGACTAATCTAATCTTTCCCTCCTTCCCGCCCCACTACCCCCCTCTCTCACACTGTCCGAATCTTCTCTCCCACGCGTCTTCTCTCACTATATACACCTTACGTCATCATCGGCTCTCCACTCTCTCTCTCTCTCTCTCCTCATCGGTCTGCTCATCTCGTCTGTCTCTCTGTCTCTCATTCTCCCTCTCCCTCTCCTCTACTCTCCTCTGCCCTCTCCCTCTCCCTCTCCTCTCCTCTCCTCTCTCCTCTCCCTCTCCCTCTCACCTCTCCTCTCTCCCTCTCCTCTCTCGTCTCCATCTATCTATCTATCTATCTCCCCCTCTTTCTCTCTCTCCTATCTCTCTATCTATCTATCTATATATATTATGGATATATATAATATATAATATATATATATATATATATGATATATAATACATATATATTAATAATAATATAATATATATATATATATATAATATATTATATATGATATAATATATATATATATATAGTATATATATATGTTCTATCTATCTCACTCTCACTATTTCTCTCTCACTCTATCTATCTATCTATCTATTCCCTCCCCCCCCTCTCTCTCCTCTCTCTCTCTCCTCTTCCCTCTCCCCCTCTCCCTCTCCCTTCCCTCTCCTTCTCCTCTCTCTCTCTCTCCTCTCTCTCTCTCTCTCTCTCTCTCTCTCTCTCTCTCTCTCTCTCTCTCTCTCTCTCTCGATCTCTCTCTCTCCTCTCTCCCTTCCCCTCTCCCCTCTCCTCTCCTCTCCCTTCTCCCGCTCCCTCTCTCCCCTCTCCTCACTCCCTCCCTCTCCTCTCGTCTCCTCTCCCTCCTCCCTCTCCCTCTCTCCTCTCTCTCTCTCTCTCTCTTTCTCCTATTTGTCTCTCTCTTTCTGCTTCTTTCTGTCTCTTCTCCTCTCCTCTCTCTCTCTCTTCCTCTCTCTTCCTCTCTCTCTCTCTCTCTCTTCTCTCTCTCTC